TGGAGTCGGGGTGGGAGCCAGGCAGTGGGGTCTGCCCGAGGGAAATGGAGGAGACTGGGGGGACCCCGGGCTCCCCGGTCTCGGAGTCGCGACCGATCGCCCGCCACTCCGCCCCGGCTTCCCTCCCTCCGCGCGGGCGAGCCCCAGGCGGTCCGCCCCGAGGGGTGGAAAGGCGAGCTCGGGGGAGGGGCCGTCCTGAGGTTTCTGCCGCGGGGTGTGGGATGAGCCTCCAAGTTTGAGCCCGGCCGGACTGTGTGTGGGGACGGGGGAGGCAGCCCCGCCGGGGGAAGGATGCCCTCTGCCTGCCGGGACCTTGGGAGTGGAAGGGCGGCGTGGCCCGTGCTGGGTGGGCTGGGGCCGCCGGCTGCCTTCGAGCAGGATTTTCTCAGAGCGGGGCCTGACTCGAAAAAGTAGAGTGGAAGCAATCGGTGGGGACACTTTCCCCACAACCTTCACTATCAGAGGATCCTGGGAGTTGGACCAAGCTAGTGGGGGGTTGAGTGGCTGGGAGTGGAGGCGAGAACCTTCTACTGCTCCAAGCGAAGAGTGGGAAACCGGACGTCCAGGTACAGGGCCGGGGGCGCCCCGTGTTTTGGAAAGGCCGGGAATAGAGGCCCAGGGTGGTGGGCGGTGTGGCGTGGAGGGCCCTGCCTGGGGCGCACCCCTGCCATGGACTTCTTGAAGTCTGTTTAAATCTCCTGGAGGAGGATTTTTGCCAAGGAGGGCAGGGGCACAGTTGGCCAGGGGATAGGATGGACTGGAGGTGACCAGGAAGAAGGTTCGGATAAAGCCGCAGCAAGAGCCAGCCCCAGAGCTGGGCTGCTGCCTCCTTTAGACTCTGGGTCTCCAGAGGTAGGGCCAGGATTTTTGAGGCGCTCTATGGACCTGCCAGGCTGTGTGGACGTGGCTCTGGAGCCATGTGGGTCTGTGAGAGAGCAGAGAGACCCGGGCTTGCCTCTGAGTAAGAGGGCGGTGGTCTGTGGAGAAACCCACAGCGATGGGTTCTCCACTCAGAGGGCCGGGACACCATATGGGAAAGTTTTGTGGCTTTGCACAGTGCTCTCCCCTGTTCCTTGCCATACCAGCCTGGCATGGGGTGCCAGGAGAGATGGGAACTTAGTGAGCTCTTCAAGATGGGGAGTTCTGGAGCGAATTCTGGGGTGAACTGGGGGGCCGGACTCTTACAGAGCCCCTTTGGGTTCAGAGTGTTCTCGGGAGGGCGCTGTGTACCTCTGGACAGTGTCCGCCGCTTCCTCAGTGTGTATGAACCAGATGTTAGGATGTGCTTCCAGGGGCTGGGAACATGACCAGAAACAGGCCCTTTGGGAGCAGAGGTCCGGGTCATTGGTAGGGGTGGTGGTGGTGTAAGGACAGGGCAGGGAATTGGTGAGTGGGAGGAGGCTGGAGCAAAATGTCATGCGGGTGGGGGTGGGAACCTGCTCGCTCTGGGCTGCTCTTCTGCAGCTCTGGGGACTGACAGCTGAGGCCAGGGGGGCTGATAGAACCAGGCGACTGGCTGGGCTGGTGAGGGGGATGTGTGTTCTCCTGACTTAATTGTTTTAACATCTCTAGGACACTGGTAGTTTAGAATTCAAAGCGTTTAGGGTGCAGAGAAGATTTAGTGTTTTTCAGTCACGCACTATGTGACGGGTACTGTGAGACTCTTTCCTTCTGCCCATGCCTGTTCCCATTTTACAGATGAAAAAACTGACTTAGGGAGTTAAATAAATTCAAGGTCATGCAGCCAGATATAATCACACCAAGGCTTGCAACCTGACCTCATGCCAAAGATCATACTTCTAATAAACTACTTGGAAGAGCCAGGCTTTGTTTGGTGACCTTTACCAAATGCCAGCATGTCCAAACAAATTCTGACCGGTCCCTCCAGAGGGTGCTGTTGAGGGGTGGAAGGGCGTGCTTCTTTGTGGGGTAACAGCAGGGCTGCTGAGGGAGGCCGACTGGGGGTCACGCCAGGGATGAGTGTGTGGCGGGGTCCCAGCCTGCCTCTGCTTTGTGAGCTCCTGGGTGTCTGCTTCATGTGTGGCTTGTTTGGCTTGAACGTCTGGTCCTGTGGCCACGTGGGGTGAGCACTGGGTCCTGTGTCCAGCGCTGGACACATCATTGTCCACGTGAGCACAGATGTCTGCGCCAGCTCTGCGGGTTTCAGTAGAAGGTGTCACTAGGGTGTGCTGTGGACATGGAGTGTGGCTCCGGAGGGGACACAGGCATCCGTGAGTGTCAGCTGCGCTCAGTTGGGACAAGAGACTGTTGTCAGGGCGCCTCCCACCCCAGTTGAAGACATTTCCCTCCAGAAGACCTGAGATCTGGGGCTGATTTGGTTACTCATGATTTCTGTAATGTGGACTGGCCAAGTAAAACTGCTGTGGGCTCTGGTTCCTCATTTTCTGCTGTGTCCCAAGTGGCCGTGGGATCCGTTTCATAGAGTTTTGGTGAAGATCAGATAGAATCAGGCAGGTGCCAAGATCTGGAAAAGTTTAAAGCACAGAGCGAGTGCATAGGAATATAGCCATACACTCACCTGCTCAACGAAACTTCTAGGTCCTACGACACGTAGATGTGTCGTTACCAAAACAAGCCAAATCCCTGGCCCTGGTGAAGTTGGTCTTTTAGTTAGGGGTGGTAGATAATGAACACATAAGAAAAAGATATAGAAAGGCAGTTGCTGATAAGTGCAGTGGGGAAAAATAGAGCATAAAGCTGGGAAGAGAGATAGGGAGCCCCAGGAAAGGGGGTTGCTATTTTAGTAGAGTGGTCAGGGAAATGGATGGGGCGCCCTGGCACTGTGGCCTGGAGGAGCATACCCGGGAGAACAAACCCGAGACCCAGACAGCCTGCTCAGGGTCTATCGGGTAAGAGCAACTAGACAGTGCGCTCAGCCTGCTGTGAGAAAAAAGCCTGGGCAGGCTTTTGTTTGGAGCTATTTTGCTTGGAGCCTGTTCTCTACCCAGTGCCCTCGAGCTCTCATCCTGTCTCTCAACATTTACTTACCTGCCCCTCAATAGTTGGTGCTGGGGAGAGAGCGTGGGAGGACGCAGACGTCGTCGCTACAGTCCACAAAGTTTATAGTCAAGGGGGAGAAGGCACCTCCTGATTATAACTGCGATCAGCGCCAGGGAGGAAAGGAGCCGAGGGTGAGGGGGATGGGCCGGGGGCTGAACTCAGTCTGCCTTAAGTGGGGGCGCGGGAAATCTACCCTGAGGAAGTTCCATTTAAGCAGTGACCTGAGGGAGCTGGATTTAGCTTGGTGAAGTGTGTGCAGTGAGTGAGCGTGACAGGGAAGGAGGTGGAGGGAGATTCCCTTCTGTACAGAGGTCACTGGCTGGTAGCTCCCAGGCTGAATTTATTCCATAAATGTGATATATTTGGCTTGTGGTGTTGAAAAAATGTGAATTACTTGCCAACATTTGAAAATCAGGAGCTGTCGTATGCCCATGTATGTTTTTTGCCAGCTTCTGTTGGAAAATATCAGAAGGTCTGGCTCCGCCACCGTGCCAGCCGCCGTGCCAGCGAGAACAATTGGTTGGTGCCGGGTGGGTGGTGCCTGCCCTGGCCCAGATAGGCCCTGTCGCTGCTCCCAGACCCCTGAGCCAGGCGGCTCTGCTCATTAACGCGGGGCTTGAGTTTGGCGCCCCTCGAAACAGTGCCTTTCAAGGAAGGGGTGACTTTTCCAGTGCGCTGCTCTGGAATCAGGCACATCCCGGCTAGGATCTCTTGATCTTGGCCAAGTTACTTCCCCCGAGGCATTGTACCGGGAGGATGTATCTGAGGCGGTGGCTTGGCGACGGGGGGG